GATTGCACGTAGGAGCCCCAGGTCCTCACTTGGGCAGGAGCCCCACACGGGGGGTGCAGGAAGGGTCAGGGTTGGAGGGGGGTTGCCGTATTGTCACCTTTATTCCTGTGCTGCCTTCAGGGCTGGGTGGGCCAGAGGGGGGGCCCAGCTGCCCAGCTCTGAAGACAGCTCTTGCCAGCAGAAGCAGAGGAGGAGGAGGGGGTGGCCACACCACAGCCATGGCAGCCTCCCTTCTGCACCGCTGCTGGTGGCAACAGCCTGCCGAGCTGGGCTCCAGGGGGGGGGGGTGGCCACACCCCAGCCCTGGCACCCTTCCTTCTGCACCGCTGCTGGTGGCAACAGCCTGGGGAGCTGGGCTCCCGGCCAGCAGCGCCCACTCCCCAGCTCTGAAGGCAGCACCCTCTCCAGCAGCAGTGCAGAAGTAAGGGTGGCCACCCCACAGCCCCCCATAACCTTGTGACCCCCTGTAACAGATGGGGAGAAACCCCCAAGTAGTGCAGCATGAGGGGCCCCGTCTCACTCCTGGCAGTCTCAAACCCTCCACTTCTGCCCCCCAGTTCATGTCTATAACCACCCGTCCGTCTGCAAACCCCCCCTTTAGTCCCCAGGGCAGGGTGGCCCAATGGTCAAAGTCCATAACTCACCACAACTCACGGAGTGCAGCCCAATGGCTACCATCAGATGACTTGCCCCTACTCCCCGGGCAGTGCAGAAGCCCAAGTCAACACCCCCCCACACACACAGAGCAGTGTCGTCCCCTCTCTAGGGATGGGGGAAGGGTTTACATCCCCCAGCAGGGGGGGCCAGGCCCTCCCACTCCACTGGACCCCCACCAAGGGCCCTGTTAGTGGCTGTAGCTCCAGCCACTGAGTCAGCAGGGAAAAGCTCCACCCAAAACACACGGACTCCCAGCTCCAGCTCACTCAACAGGCACCATCCCCAGGGCTCCCTCCTGCAGCAGGGCCATTGCCTCAGCTCCCTCATGGGTCTCCAGCTCCCTCTTGCCTCTGAGTCCTGTGCAGTTTCTGGGAGCCTCTGGCACCTCCACATGCACATCCTCTCCCTCCAGTGCCTGGGCTGAGCTGCTCCTTTTTATAGCTGTGCAGCTGGAGCATGCCCAGTAAGGCGAAGGGGGTGTGGCTTTCTCAGCCCGCTGAGCTGGGTTAACCCCCTCCTACCCAGTGCAGGGAGAGTGCGCCTCATCGAGTCCTTTTTGGCCCAGCACCCTACAGTTCCACCCGTGGGAAGGTTCAGACTCAAATCACGGAACTCGGGACAGTTACGGTTTTTAACAGCCCGTGTCTGTGAAACTGACCCACATGGAGGGTGAATTTGGTGGGGCCCTAGCCAGGGGGATGTGCCAAAGGGGCCAGCCCAGGGCACCCACCACGAGCCTGGCTCCAGCCCATCCCGCTCATGCCGGGCCTCTGCTGCATGTGTCTGTCCACTGGGGAGTCTGATGCCCCCTCCAGGACCCCCGCCCTGCCCCCTTGCAGGGGCTGCGAGGCTCCCCCTTGTGGCCAGCTGTGGCGTAGCTGCTCTCTGGCCTTTCCCCCCACTGACTCAGCAGTGGGGATTTCCAGCCATTCAGCTGAGTCCTCGTCCAGCCCTGCCTCCTTAGGGCTTTGTGCTGGGGCTGGTCCAGCCAGCCAGGCCCAGCCCTGGTACCAGCTAGAATGGCTCCCCCTTCCCAGCCCGGCCCCACGGTCCCTCAGCCAGCCCTCCGCCTTCCCTTCCGTGGCTGGGTGCCGCGGGGCTGGTGCCTGGCAGGGCCCCCTCTCCTGCTGCAGGGCTGGGTGACCTGGACACGCGGCTGGGGCAGTCGGCAGCCCTGGGAGTGGTGTGAACAGGCCCTTGTGGTGCCGTGAGCTAGCTCCAGGCCTCCTTGTGCCCTGGGCGGATCTGAGACAAACCCGTCAGCAGGAGCCATGTTCCAGCCCCCACCCTTCCGCACACAGGCCTGGCATGAGCCACTTCCCCAAAGAGCCCACGGGGTACCGAGCCTCCGCAAAGCCTCTGTGCTCGGGGTCCAGCAGGCCCCACCTGTGCTCTGTGGCTTTAACAGCATGGGGGAGAGGGTAGGGCTCCTGGAGCAGCGTTCCCTGTGAGCTGAGCACTTGGAGGGCTGCCCAGGAGACATTCCAATGCCGCCCAGCTGATCAGCAGAGCGCCCAGAGCTAGCCTGGCGTTTATACTGGTGGTGCACATTCACACATGCCTCGGTGCACATCACAAAATGTATTCCACACATATATTGAAACATGATAGCGCTTGGTGCTTGGACTGCCACTGATTGCCCTTGGATCGCTGGGGAATCGGGGAGCCCCCAGTGTGTAATGAGAGCGGGGATCGCCTGCCTGTACCCGCTCC